TTACACTTTGCACATTTTCCAGAATTATTGCAGTCAATTGACGCGCTCCGCTCGCCGAGACTCCAGACACTGCGATTTGCAGTTTTCATTGGGTCTGCTTTTTTATGCTCCACCATCGCCATCGCCATCGCATTTCTCTCCAATTGCAAGAAAATATTTTCATTTCTTAGGGATTCTCCGAGCGCGGAGACGCAGACGGAGATGGAGGCGACAGCAGAGTCCGGGACTCCAGGTCGATGCGTCACAGTGTCGAGGATTGCTTTGCCTTTCCCGGACGAACGAACGGACAAGCTCTATGGGTCTGCAGCCATCACTTGGCCGTACTTTATTGGCCCGGCAAAAGTTTTGTGCCGTCACTCGAGCCGGAGTCTGGGCGATTTAAGTTTCATGGAGCAACAGCATCGGATTCGGCTCAACTCCGGCGGCAGCTACAGGCACTGGCACTGCCGGAGCTCAGCTCAGCTCAACCAGCTGGTTGACTTTGACTGACGGGTACAGCTAATGCTAATGCCAATGCCCTGGCCTGAAGCCCGAGCCAGAGCCAGAGCTAAAGCCGAAGCCGAGCTAACGGATGGTCCGGTGCAATAGTTGCGCCCTTGATTTAACTAAAGGAAAATTGATTTAATGCCATAATTCAGTGTCCGACCCGGCTAGAATGTGCCAACTGACTTTCAATCAATTTGACGCATAATTCCTGATGGATTTAATCGTAATTGATGATTGATTGCCGTCTGCCTCGGAGCACGGATCCAGAGGCTCTCGAGAGCCTGCCCGCTCTCTTCTTTCCTCGAGGCAGCCGGGCGTATGCGTAACGCAGCAACGCGAAAAACACTTTTGGCAGTCGTTTGGTCCTAATACCTTGTAATTTATTTTCGCTCAGCTTAATCGAACTACTGGTCGGCTGGCTACCTGACCCAGCTGATACAGGCTGCAATGGTCTTTTCATTAAGTTGCCTCACATAAATCAATGTCAGGTGAGAGAAACTACAGATTGGGTGAGGAGGACCGAAAGGATATCCCGCTGACATGGCACTGTGGTCGACATCAAAGCCCGCTTGGTCCACGTATTTTTAATTTTAATCAAATGCTCGACAAACCCCGCTCGCTCCGCTAAAATGTCTGGCTGCCTTTTATTTGACTTGGCCATTTCAATTGCCGAGCAATTCCTTAATGGCTTGCTCGACCCCCTCCACTCTGAGCTGTCCTTAGATGTAAATAAAAATGCATTGCACTGCCATTTCCTGTGAAAGCCAAAAGCATTTGATGTAACTCATTTCAGCTTATGCAGCGGCCACGTGACGACGACATTTTCCCCTGCCCACCGCCCATCAGCCCTTCCCATTTGTTGCTCTATTTGTATTTGCATTTGCGTTTGTGTTTGTGGGAGGGCTTCTCTTTTTTATATACCCCGGCACTCGGTGTGCTCTGCGATATATTGTATTCGTGGGAGTTTATGTAACGTGCAAAAGAAAACAGGGGGAAAACCTTAAAAAATATACAGCTCTACTCAAAGTAACGTCAATATTATGCAAGCTTTAGGTATTTATTAAATAAAGACAACTTGTCAATAACAGTTTAAAATAAAATATGTATTTTTAGGAATTTGGAAAGAAGTAACAGAAATTCAAAGTTTCTTTAAAAAAAATAGATGAAAGCAATGTGGAATTAATTATTGGATACAAAATAATTTAATAATTTGTATGAACTTTAGCGTAAATTAAGTGTTAGCATTCTTCAGAAGACAGCATTTACTGGGTACCTCATAGTCGCTTCCTTTGACCTGGCTTCCCTTTTTATAATGTTAAGCTTTCCTCGTTTTTTGTGGCCCTGCAACGGCTTTTATATGTTTTTCTTCACCCAAAGCTGTGTGAAATCAATGGAAGCTGTTTCAGTCAGCCGTCGCCACCCGGCTTCTGCCCTGCATTCGTGGAAAGAAGTGAAAACTGAAGCGGAAAACTGCCCCTCGACTGGCCGCGCTCTCGCCGGTGTCTGAGTCTGTGATTGCGCAAAGTGCGGCGTTGTCCTGGCCGATGCGAAAACGTTTTATTTAAATATGTATACGTATGGTGTGCTCCATGTGTACGCAAATATATATTCAGGAGTGTGAGCGTGGTGGCAGGTAAACCGTAACGGTTTAAATCTGCTTGTCCAACACTCGGCTTCCGCTCCGCTCCTCATCGCTCCGCACTGGCACTTCAGCGGCCCCGTATTTGTGTCAGTTCCGTGCAGATCGCTTACATTTGGCATAAAAAGGGCTGCCAACAAAATCGGCAGCAGAGCGGCGGGGAAAACAAGCAGCAGGACATGTTAAAAACAGTTTTATGCACTGCCAGAACGAGCTGGAATAAAATAAATATGCTGGCTGACTGCCTCAACGGGTGGGACCAGCTTCTGGTCCTTCGGTTTTGGGCTGGGGCCGCTGCTGGGTCCTGGTTCTCGCTGGGTCCTGGAAAACGCAAAAGTGCCCACGCTTCAATGCGTGTATCTGTCGCTTTAAAAAGTGATTTTTACAAGCCACACTCACTGGCAGTCACTTAATGACACCGACACATGTCCTCCAGTCGTCGTCCTTATATGCTAAAAAATCAACCAGGCATCGTAAAGTACACAGAAAAAGCCAGAGGCCGTCTTTTTTGTGCCTGAATAGTCGAGTAAGCTAAGCTGCTGAATTGAATCGAATCCGAACGAACTCAACTGAACTGCCGTTTTGCAATTTTCGGGATTTTGGCCAAAGGGTTCCGGGTTAATGAATGAGCCCGAATTGAAAATCCAATGCTGGTGTTATATTTTCCCGACTTGTTTGCTTATGCCGCCTGCTGGCGCCTGCAATTGATGGTGATTGAATTTTTTGATTGATCGTTTGATTGATTGAACTAGTTGGTTTTTGGCCGTAAGGTTAAAAACTAATAAAAAACTAACATCAGCCATGGCAACGGGCGAAATCCTGCGAAGCGGCTTAATTGAAATGCGGCACGGTTAAAAAATGCCGTAGAAACTCCGGCGGCCTAAAAACAGAGGCACTGGGGAGATGCGGTGTTTGGCCCACCTTCGGGGAATACTTGCAATTACGCTAAAAGCAATTCCCGGCCAAGCACCGCTCCTTTCTTCGTTCCCGCAAAGAGTTAGCTCCGACTCGAACTCAAACTCGGGGCAACCCTTAGCCTTTGGCTTACACAGACACAGACCCGGGCCAAGCAACAAACAAACACATTTGCCACCTCTAATACAGGCCCACAAATTTTTATTTAAAGCACTTTACCGGGATCGTGTTTCTTTCGTTTCCCTGGCTTTTTTCTACACGGTACTCGTATAGTTCCAAGGGTGTATTGTTTTCGGGGACATGTTGAAAGGAAGCTCTTTCAAATGCTTAAGTAATACATATTATATCCTCAGAGCTTTAGGCTATGAACTCTACTCAGTAAAATCCAAAAAATCGTATGACATATTAAACAAGGGATAAGGGATACCTTCAAGTCGGTGCCCACGACTAAACCGTTTTTCTTTTTCTATCTGAGTGTCGTACAATCAACTTAAACTAAGATTACAAGCGCCGTCCCGCTAAGCTGCAGAAAAATGTGTGCCAGCGGCCGGAGCGGAGTCCTGCGAGTGGTTGGGGTTCTAGGGGATGTGGTGGCGAATCCGCAAAACCACTCACGGCAGACAGACGACTCCCGCATCCGCCGCATCCCCTCGAGCTGTACGCATGCTATTTGTATTTAAAATGGGATTTACCTGGGGTTTTGTCACTTCTTTTAGCGGGGCTTTTAATTTGATTTAATGCGTCTACGCGTGCCGCGTCAGCGGAACCCCCCGGACTCCTGTGCCGCCAGGACACACTCCACTCCTTTTGGAGACAACGACTGTGTAAGCCCTGGGCAAATGTGATAGGCGGCGTGCTGTTGTTGCTGGCCATTTGTGCGAATTAAGTTTTTGGCGCCACGAAGTGGAGGAAACCGGAGGAAAGCCGCCGAACCGCCGAGCCACCCTCGCAATCAGCCAACCGACGCTGCCACAATGCCCCTGTGAATTGGGCGAGTGAAAACTTGTGTCGGAAAACTTGCCGTGCGGCGGAAAACTATGTACAAACTCAATTGCAAATGTACGCGAGAGCCATCCAGCCAGGCAGCAGCGCGCTGTTGTTGTTTGGGGAAAAATGCAAATTAATTTTCCTCAGGCTTTTCGCTGCGTTCCCATTAAATATGAGTGCTGTGCAACTTTGCGGTGCGGCAAGGTGGCCTCTATTTTTGGTTTATGTAAATCTTGGATCTGCCATCCAGCTCCAACTCCGGCTCCGTCTCCTCCACCTCCGCCTTATCCTCGTGCCGGCATTCGCTGCACATCAAAGACTGGCAAGAACATTTTCGCTAGCGGCTAGACTTTGAACTTGGGTCTCGGGAATGGATCAGGGGCTGGGGGGTCCTGGGAGAAGGAAATCGAGTTGGAAACGGGACGTACGGAGTCCTTGCCCTCAGCTCAGCCGCAATTAAAACAGATTTCTTGTTTACGATGTCCTTGGCGAATTTGTAAATCAATTCTATGCGTATTTTAAGCAATTAATTTTCCTGAATTTTAATTGACTTTACCATCTTCACCTCCTCTGGCTCCGTTTGCCTGCCGCTTTGTTTGTTTGTTTATTTACTTGTTTTCCCTCAACTTGCCCCAGATAGCCCACAACATTGGTAGTAGTTGTGTAACGGATATGTTTCCTTTGCGGTTTGCTTAAATTGATTTTAAAGCTGGCCAGAAAGCATATGTACTTAGGTCATGTGTGCTGGCAGCTAAGTTCAGTCTAAGCCCTCTCCAACCCAACAGCTTTGCGATTTTCTACTCATTACTTTGACTTCCGGAAATGATGGTCCTGCCTAATGAGATATACTTATTTATTTTGACTAGCATGACATTTTCTTAATATATTGATATTTAAAACAGTGTAAATAAATATAGATTGATTAGATTTCCAGGTTGCAAAGTGTTTTCAATCAAATTTTTCTTGGTTTCTCCTAGTCATTCTTCAATCTGTCGGCTATATTCAGTTGATTGACAAAGGTGACCACCGAAAAAGCCAGTTTTGCTACCTAAAATGAAACGAATATATATAGTTTCAAGCTGAAATCTTACAATTTGTTTAATGTAAAGCTTACGCTTATATTTGTGCTCGTGGAAATCGGGAAAATATAGCCAGCGGTGAAGGCAATAGGCTTCTGCGCGTTCTGTAAAAAGTAAAGCAGCGAAGTTTTGTATCTGCGACTGGTGCTTAGCCAGTTGGACTGAAATATGGCCATATCCAGATGATCACAATCGGCCTTTATCAAGTCACACACGAAACAGAACGGAAAGGTCTGCATGAAGAGGCCATTTATATAGGCCGCTGTGGCAAAACCCGTCCAAATGTCGGCGAAAAAGAGCAGGTTTATGATAGACAGGCCCAGGCAAATGCCGATCAGTAGGAACTGGATGAAAATTGTGCGGGCTATGACGGGTCGAATCATTTGGGCATATCTTTTAAGAAATAAATATTATTATTATATGATACTGAAGCCATTCCAGTTGCCTACTCTTTGATGAGCTTGTGATCCTTGATGCAGTTGACCAAATCCTCTTGGTTTTCCTCCTCACTCTTGCCGGGCTCTGTGCATAGTCTCTCCACTCGCTGCTGCAACAGTTTAAGGTGGACCCTAAGGATCAGGCCATACAGCAGAGGGTAGATGTCGCTCATCAGGGTTTGGGTCACCGTAAACGTCATGAGCATGTTCTCGTGGAAAGCTGCTATCCAGAAGCTCACTCTGCTCTGCCGCCAGTCCACAAAGGGATTATAGATTCGCCACGGGAGTTGTCCTGCAGCTCCGGCAGACAGGAAGGTGGACATGGTGTAGGAGATGTAGATCACCTGGTAGATAAGATAGGCCTTGTTGCAGTGGACAACCCAGCGATGAACCTGCATGCGTTCCTCCAGCCGAGAGCACCGCTTGTCCAACTTGCTCAGCAGCTCCTTGGCCTTGTAGAAGCGCCAAATGTGCAGATTGAAGAACAGCACCTTGAACGGCATTCCCACGGAATTGAAGAACAGCTGAAGTACTGTTAGCAGTTCGCTGGGACTGAAATTGCTAAGATCCTTCAGAAAGCTAATGCTGATTCCGATCGGCAGGTATATAACGCACCAAGAAAATATGCAAGCGGCCGCAATGTAGTACAAAATCTTGTACTTCTGTGGAGACCACCAGCCCATGAAGAACATCCCGTACTCAAAGTACCGAAATGCCTCTGGTGAAGTCAGCAGATTGGAGGGATCCGGCTCTCGCAAATATTTAAAAATCATTATTGCACTCAAATCTCTTTGGAACTGAAGAGGAGTGTCCAGAGACCACGGTATTTATACCATTCAGTTTTCGGATATTCAGAAAATTGCATAACAGAGGTTGGCATTGTTATTTGTTACAAATGCAAATTGAATTTAATTGACTGTGAAACAGAGAAAAGCAGCCTACGCACAATAATCAATTATCCTCTAACTATGGGTTAGGTAAGTAATACCTTTGTGGGTCACAACAAGGGATATTATTTATTTAATTGTTGATGATACTGTTTGTTGCTTTTCTCAGGGATTATTTAAAAGACTCTAATAGATTTGGGTTTCCATAAACAATAGATTCGTCCCCGAAGTCCGGAGAGGACTCTTTTGGAAGTCCAACACTTTAAAATCGTATATTTAAAAATTCAAACTTGATTTTATTTATCAAAGCAAACAGCGAGCAGCAATCAATTATCATGTAACTATACGTTATGCATCGTGTTTTTTTGCAAGGCCTATAATTTGCCAAAGTCTCGATACTGTAATCACCTGCATTTCTTATTTGCTTTGCTTTCCACACATTTTTCCCACAAGACGGCGCCATAAAGTGGGCAACAGTTTTCCCAACCACCGACCATTTAGATGTAAATGTCTTAGCCGCATGATTAATACATGTGTGTCTATGCTCTGGGCATATATGTACATTGCGTAGCCGACATGGGTGCCGTGGCTCGGGCAGCAGCACAATGCCTCGCATTGTCTGACTTGCGTTCTCGGCAGACGCGTGTGTTCGAGTTAATTTATAGACTTATCAACACTTAATCACCGGAAAAATGGCATGGCGCATGTGTAAAACGCACACAGCGCCACGCATGTTGATTACGGCCGCTGTCTTCGGTCGTATTTCACCCGGAGATGAAGTCAGAGCCAGGAGCAGAGCTATATCCATATCCATATCCAGATCCAGAGACTGAAACAGAGACAGAGACAGAGACAGAGGCTTAATAGTTGTTAGTTAGTTGTGCGTGCAGACTGTTGCTCTCCGTAACGCTCCGCATTTGCCGTAATTTATACTTTATAGCCCTGGCCAGATATGAAAAGTCCCGCACACATTCGCACGCATCACTGTAACATAATATCGGGGGCTATATTTTTTCAGCCCGCTGTTCAACATGTTGACTTTTATGCCATTTTCTGCGGCTGCCAAGTCAACTGTGGTCAGACCCTGCCCCTGATATTTATGCGTGCATATAAATAACAGGGTCTCTGACTTTCCACCGACTTTTCCTCTGTAGCTGTAGCTCTGGCTGTAACTGTGACGGGGGCTTATGTTATTAGATTTACTGCGGGCGGTGGGTGCTGCAGATGCTGATGCTGCTCCTGCTTCTGATGCGGTCATAAAAAGGCAGACATTCAAATAAACCGCAAAGAGTTGACTGCATAATTAAAGCGGTACACGACGACCTTCAATCATGTTTAGGCCGGGAGAAAGTTCATTAAACTGGCTGCTTTGCACCATCTATCTAGCCAATAAGTGAAAGGCGGGATCCTGGCAATTGGCCGGGACAATTGTGAGACATCTGAGCGGCATATGTGGCACGTTTGCTGATTCCAAACACACTCGGACATTGCACTGGGAAAAACAAAGATCTAAGTCAAAGCAAAGTCATATTCATTTATAAGGATAAAGCAAAGAGCTTAAGAATATCTTGAGTATATTTTGCTTTATAATATAAATAAAATTTTTTCCTTTTGGGACTCCAAATAAAAGTTTTTCCTTTGATACTCCAGAGCAGACTTTTCTCCCGGTGCCATCCTAATGATTGCAACAACGTGACGCATCAACGATTTCTATCTCGCACAATTTTGCTTGGTTTATTCTTGTTTTTTTTTTTTTTTTTGGTTTGGTATTGCTCGATCTGAGCCGCATTGAGCTTTATTGTTGGCCATTTGGACAAACAGGCTCGTGTGCGACCGCGCCATATGTGTGCTTAAGTGAAAGGCGCCGCCTGATGAAGTATTGTTTCTGGATCATAAACTGATTTGCCTAAAAGCGTGTCTGGCACTCGCTCCTACTTGCTCGGCATTCGCTTTTCCGGGAGGCCTACACGGATCTGGCTTGCGGACACCTTATTACATTTTTGCGCCCCAAACTGTGTGCTAATTGCTTTTGAGTGAAAACCTCATAACCAGCGTCCACTCAGCCAGAAGAGCCGTGCCACGGCCCTCGGTTTAGCTGGCCAACACACAGAAAGCCGGAGCCATTAAAAAATTGATTTATTTTTAATTATCAGTGACGTGCGGCGCAATAATAAATAAACGTGGAAATTTATTGCAACGTCAAAAGCGACGGCCGGCAAGCGTCGACCTCAACAATAGCGTGCGTGGGTGGTTTCCATCCACAGCAGCGTCCAAATTAATAGGTACGCAGAAATATGTAATGAAAATGTACAGTTTCAGGTCGAGAAAAAGTATTTGTTCAAGGATATACTTAAAGGGTTTCCATAAAATGAAGCTGTTTTAATATTAGATACAACAAGCAAAAGCTTTTTATATGTGTATTTTGGAATACCTGGCATGAGTAAATACATATTTACTCTGATAGGTAAATGTGGTTTACGATTTATCCATAAATTCTACTCTTCTAAAAACACTTAAGATGGGAAAGCTGCAAAAATATTATATTTTTATGTTGCTATTGTTTTGGTCGCTATTTTATTCATTCGCCTATATCTGCATTTATGCTGGGCATTTTTGCAAAAATATTTAGAATACTGCAAGGGAGAGTGTGTGCCGGGAGGTGGGGGGGGTGTGTATGGTATATTCCAATAACAAGCGGGAAAATCGAGTTGTTGGCATATTTTACAAACACTTTGCTAATGTTGGCGCTTGTCTAACATATTTTCAGCTGCCTCCGATGATGATGTTGCCTGGTGTGGCCGGCGATGCCTTTGCTGTTGCAGCAGCTCTTATTATTGTTATTATTATTATTATTATTGCAGCTGTCGCTCATGCCGAAATGCGAACAAAAATGCGGCAAAAATTCTATTATCACAGCCATTGTCGCGCCAGCCGTATGACAACCGCTTGACCAACAACGTTGTTACGGGCGGAACATTTTACTAATTTATTAACTAAGCCAATGCCGATGGACGAAAACGAGCCAAATATTTGTCAGACTTCATGTGGTGCCATGTGGGCGCTGCATTTTGTTAATTTGAGCCTTTGGCTGGCATTCCTTCGGCTATTTTGTGATATGTCAGCCGTTCTGCCGTGTCCTGTTTAAAAATGAATTTTAGAAAATTTGAGATTTCTAATGCTAGTTCCCCCACACGCCGGTGGCTCGTTTTGCAATTTGCAGTCGCCGCCGAGGACCGCACCCATTGTGGTTGCCCCTTTTTGCGGCCTGACGCGTTTAATGAATTTTTCATGTCATCAGCGTTGTAGTACTGTTGACCAGGGCCCCCATTCAATTATTCACCTCCCCCGGCCCAACTTTGAATGGTCGCTTTCAACTGTACTTACCGCATGGCAATTCAAATCAATTTTTGATTTGCCCGATATATACATTTTTTATTTGTACGGCCAAGGAAATGGCTGTTTTTGCATGCGAAAAATTTTTAATTTATTTTCAGCAAACGATGGGGCTTTTTTTTAAATCACATTTCTCATGGCTACAGGGTAGCAGGGTATGTTGATGTTTCAGAGAGAGAGAGGAAAAAAATTCACTTATCCGGAAATATTTGCGCCAATTAAGTCTGTTATGTTATGGCTTATGTAGTAATCTTTTTATGGTGCAAATGCAATTAGCATCATTGAGGCAAGCTGGTAACTGGCAGTCGAGAGACTCTTCTTTGGAGTGCATTTATGCGCTATTCATTGGAGCTCTGTTCACTCGCACTATCTCCATCGCATTCGCTGATGAGCTGGACACACTGGGCAATATATTTTATTCACATGCCGGTTTTTGCAGCTACATATGCGGTAATTGATACGCTAAACTGCATAACGCAGATTATGACGTTAACGGGGAATGGCCGAATGAATCGCGGCCCCTGAATGCCGGCCAATGAATGCCAGGGACTAGTGGAAAAAGCCTGGAAAACGTAGTGGACAGCGCAACAAAGGAAACATTGAAATATGCAATAGAGGAAAAAATAGCAACGTTGATTATTATTATTGTTGTTATTATTATTATTGTGTTTCGCATTAAATTTGCATGCTATCATGTAGTTATGCATTCGCTTGAATTTAATTATTCACATTATCTGCTAATTTTTAAAATAATTCTGATTATTTAATGCTCTTTTCGCTGGTGGTATGGAATTTAATATGCCAACTCCTACATGGATAATATATATATGTGGGTGTGTGTGTTTTGTGGAGTGTAAAAAGTTTGAAAAGCAATTTAAAAATGAAATTTATGAATTGTGTGCGCATAAAATGCAAAAGCAGAGCGAGGCTAAGCAAAGCGTAGAAATAGCAATTGCTCCTATTGCCAGAAGGTAATTAGAATTCATGACACGCTTATGAAATATCACACATACGCAGTGTGGCAAAGACGCTGCCCCCCTCCCCCTCACGCTTCCGCCTTGTTCGCTTTTCTTTCCCCTCACACTCTTTTGATTTACGATTTTCAAATACACAAGCATACGCACACAGCCACACTCCCGAGGATGGCAGCAATGCAAAGTAATTTATGACAATGCCTTGGCCACAAAAACTGCGAATTGCAATCAAAGCCAAAAATGGCTAAGGCCAGGCCAGAAGCTCATATAAATGTCAGGACGCTAACGATGGATGCGAATCTGCCGGGAGCTGCTGCTCTGCAGATGCATTAGTCGGCCACTTGGAGTGCCATCTTTATCTACATCTCAACACTGAGCTAAAAAAAAAAACCTGAAGTATACTCGTGTTTGTATTGAGTCAATAAATTTATTCTTTATTATACTATATTTTTGTTTGTATCATTTTGAATGAATAACTGAAACACGGTATTATTTATAAAAAAGATTTACCTTAAATTA